CTAAGGACAGGGTAGGCCCACTGGTCAGTGAGGAGGGAGAAACAATAACAGGAAACTTGGAAATGGCAGAGATGCTTAATGACTTCTTTGTTTCGGTCTTCACCGAGAAGTCTGAAGGAATGCCTAACATAGTAAATGCTAGTGGGACGGGGGTAGGTTTAGAAGATAAAATAAAAAAAAAAGTTAAAAATCACCTAGAAAAGTTAGATGCCGGCAAGTCACCAGGACCTGATGTAATGCATCCTAGAATACTCAAGGAGCTGATAGAGGAGGTATCTGAGCCTCTAGCTATCATCTTTAGAAAATCATGGGAGACAGGAGAGATTCCAGAAGACTGGAAAAGGGCAAATATAGTGCCCATGTATAAAAAGTGAATTAAGAACAACCCAGGAAACTACAGATCAGTTAGTTTAACTTCTGTGCCAGGGAAGATAATGGAGCAAGTAATTAAGGAAGTCATCTGTAAATGCTTGGAAGGTGGCAAGGTGATAGGTAACAGCCAGCATGGATTTGTAAAGAACAAATGTAAAACCAATCTGATAGCTTTCTTTGATAGGATAACAAATCTTGTGGATAAGGGAGAGGCGATGGATGTGGTATACCTAGACTTTAGTAAGGCATTTGATATGGTCTTGCATGATATTCTTATCAATAAACTGGGCAAATACAACTTAGATGGGGCTACTATAAGGTGGGTGCATAACTGGCAGGATAACCATACTCAGAGTAGTTATTAATGGTTCACCATCCTGCTGGAAAGGTATAACAAGTGGGGTTCCGCAGGGGTCTGTTTTGGAACCGGCTCTGTTCAATATCTTCAAAGATTTAGATATTGGCATAAAAAGGACGCTTATAAAGTTGCAGATGATACGAGGCTGGGAGGGGTTGCAACTGCTCTGGAGGATAGGGTCATAATTCAAAATGATCTGGACAAATTGGAGAAATTGTCTGAGGTAAACAGGCTGAAGTTTAATAAAGACAAATGCAAAGCGCTCCACTTAGGAAGGAACAATCAGTTTCACACCTACAGAATGGGAAGCGACTGTCTAGGAAGGAGTACGGCAGAAAGGGATCTAGGGGTTATAGTGGACCACAAGCTGAATATGAGTCAGCAGTGTGATGCTGTTGCAAAAAAAGCAAACATGATTCTGGGATGCATTAACAGGTGTGTTGTAAGCAAGACACGAGAAGTCATTCTTCCGCTCTACTTTGCGCTGGTTAGGCCTCAGTTGGAGTAGTGTGTCCAGCTCTGGGCACCGTATTTCAAGAAAGATGTGGAGAAATTGGAGAGGGTCCAGAGAAGAGCAACAAGAATGATTAAAGGTCTAGAGAACACGATCTATGAAGGAAGGCTGAAATAAATGTGTTTGTTCAGTTTAGAAAAGAGAAGACTGAGGGGAGGGGAACAGGATAGCCGTTTTCAAGAATCTAAAAGGGTGTCATAAGGAGGAGGGAGAAAATTTGTTCATCTTGGCCTCTGAGGATAGAACAAGAAGCAATGGGCTTAAACTGCAGCAAGGGAGGTTTAGGTTGGACATTCAGAAAAAGTTCCTGTCAGGGTAGTAAAACACTGGAATAAATTGCCCAGGGAGGTTGTGGAATCTCCATCTCTGGAGATATTTAAGAGTAGGTTAGATAAATGTCTATCAGGGATGGTCTAGACAGTATTTGGTCCTGCCATGAGGGCAGGGGACTGGACTCGATGACTTCTCGAGGTCCCTGCCAGTCCTAGTATTCTATGACTCTATGATGTTTGCAACTTTAATCAGAACCAAGATAACCCTTGAAGTTCAATCAGGATTATCTCCTGACAGTATGTGAACCAAATTGATAATATTGTATTTGAATTAGAAAGAAAACTAGAAACGTGTAGATCCTAACCAAAGAGGAATTTTTCCTGGTTGGTTGGTTGGTTTGTGTTGTCTACTGGGTTTTCTGGAAGGCTCTGACCAGCTAGGAAACTAGTAGCCTTATGTGATCACAGCTATCATGCAGTTTAACATTTGAACAAGTCTCTCAAATAAAGTGCTCGGGGCCATCTTCACATACTGTGATCAAGTTTGAATTCTAGTATTGGCAATTGAGGTAACTGTAAACTGACCAAATCTTAGCAGCAAGCCATTGAACATGTAAGTTACTCCATACATGAATGTTATGGCCAACTATTCATGAAGAGCAACACCAGGAAATTCCACCACCAAACTTTCAGAAGTGTATGTTTTGAATTGCCAAACCCTCCCCTGGACAGTATAAACTCACATAAAAACTGCCATTTTATTACTAGTACATGATATGCACAAATCTTCCTACGTCAAAGGATTTTCCCGACACTTCAATCTAAATATACTTTGAAGTGACCACAGGTAATGATGCATAAAAGTCATAGTTGGTTATGATAAAAGTAAAATGCAATTACAGTAATGTCTAACTGAACAAGATAAAGCGTGAATTCCAAGCAAAATGCTCTCACCACACTATTACCTGTGCAATCTCAGGATCACCCTCTTGCTCCAATGCTGCTTTTGTTAATCACGTTACCAATGCCCTGCATAGAGATGACTTGAAAGACATTTCTCTCCTTTCTTATAGTTCAGGGATTCTCGAACTTCATTGCACTGCAGCCCCCCTCTGACATCAAAAATTACTATACAGCAAATGGAGGAGGGGCTGTAGCCTTAGTCTACCCAAAGCCTACTGCTCCAGATGGGGTGGGCCAAAGCCTGAGCCCCACAAGATTCAGCCTCAAGCAGGGAGCCTGAAATTGAGCTCTGCTGTCCAGAGCTGACACACTCAACTTCAGCTTTACCCCTGAGTCCCAGCAAGTCTCAGTCAGCCCTGGTGACCCCATTAAAATGGGTTCATTACCCACTGTTACAGTTCCTTCTCTTCTATATGAATCATCCCCAGCTAACGTCCAGGAGACAAAGTCTGTATGGTCAATTCTCAATATGTAGATTTTTTTGTCTACACCCTTTTCTTTCCATAGAATGGCCACTTATGCAGGTAATGATCCATTTGATCTTGTGGACACGTGGCTGAGGCATTAGCTAGACTTTTTTCTAGGGCTTTAATTCTCAGAGTTTATTTCCCAGAACCCTCACATCCCATTCAGGGGTGTGCTTCAGCAGTGGGAAGTGCCGGGGCTTAGGGCTTTAGCCCTGTGTGAGTCTTTAGTCTCAGGGCTTCAGCCCTGGGGTGAAATGTCAGGGCTTTGGTCTTGCAGAGGTCATCAGTCTGGAGTGCACTGGGGCTCATGGCTTCTGTACCACTGGAGGCACCAGACTCATGTTTCAGCCCAGCAGGGTATGCTAGGGATCAGGACATTTGCCTCCTGAGATACTGAGGATCATGTGGGCTTGAAAATATTTACCAGAGCTCTTCTCCGCATGACTCTGGGTACAAAGAAGTCATGATTTTGTCTCTGGAGAACTGGTGTGTGACAAAATTGGAATATGTCTTAGTAACATCATAAAAGAACATCTTATAACTTTACATACAATGTTTGCATGCACATTTTACCAGAACAATATAGATAAGCAAATTATATGTTTTCAAATGATACTTCACAAGGCATACTTTGTACAAGGCATACTTTACCACAGCCCTATGAAAAAGAGTGGACTGGCGTGCTCCCTACCCCACTTGCAGTCCACATAACCATCTCCCCCTTCAGTCCTGGATTTCTGCTCCAGCAGACATAAATACCCCAGGCTCTCCCCTATACATCTTTTCCCCAGTTTACCTGTTTCACCCAACATATCAATAAGGCTGAGATTCCATCTTATTAAAAACATTAATTCAGGCACAGAGAGTTAAATATTTAATGTCTTATCTAGACTGAGGGTGACTACTGAACCTAAAGTATAGTGAAGTTCCAGTGGTAGTGACTAACCCCTAGAGAACCAGCACTATCAAGAAACAAAGCTGGATAGACCCCATGCAGAATATTAAATTAATTGTTTCCCCAAAGCAGAACTTGCATGGGATTCCTTGTTAAGGGGATGAGATGAATGGCCACAGAACACGACTATTGAAATACTGTTAGCCTGAGACTCTTTTAGCTACACTCCATTGCCCACCCCAACTCTGTCCCCAGCCAAGCGTCAGAGATTAAATCATAAAGGCATCACGCCGTCACCTGCTACAAACAATCACCGCCCCCTTTTCGAACGTCTAGAGGAATCAGCACCCTGTCTCCACGGAAACGCATTCGGGGTGGAACAGCGAGCGGCCAATGAGAATCGAGGGAAGACGAGGGGGCAGCCAATGAGCGGAGTTTGGTGCGTGGTTTAAACCTGCAGGCAAGGGCTGCTGGGGAGTTGTGCATTCGTGTTCTGAGCCGGGCAGCTGTGGGGACAGGAGTCGCACGCACTAGGCTCGGCAGCTGAAGGTGCAGCGGCGCAGCCGGAGTTCAGGGCTTTGTGGTGCAGGAGGGGCCATGGCGCTGCGGGTCAGCAGGGTAAGTGGCGGGAGGAAGGGGTCACCCTGTGGAGCCCCGGCGGGTTTCCTTCGCGGGCGGGCTGCAGCCATTTCTTCTGCGGGCGGGTGGGGGAGTGACCTTATTAGCGGGGTCTACGTGTGCTCAGTCTGGCTGCGGCTGTTGCTCCGTGTCTCGGGCCTGGGGCTAAGAGCGGCTCCGTCCCCAGCTTGCTCGCCGGGCTGCGGGACGCTAGTGCAGGGGCTCGGGTAAGGCAGGCTAACGGGCTCGCCGCAGCTCCGCCCTGAGCAGAGCCTGGCCTAGGAGGCTAGGGTTTGGGGGTGCCCGGCGTCCCCTTCCCGGCAGGGCTGCCGCGCTGACGGGGCGCTCTTCTCCGCAGAACACCAGAGTCCACGCCGAGAACCAAGTGAAGAGCAATGTGGCCGCCGTCAAGCGGGAAGCGGCTGCTGCCAAGCCCGGCCTCAGGCCGAGAACCGCCCTGGGCGACATCGGTAACAAAGTGTGCAAGCAGCCGCCCAAAGCGCCTCCTAAAAAGGTAAGGCCAGAGCCTATCCCGCCGAAGCCCCGAGAAGCCCGAGCCTGGGACGCTCACGGCCCCCTCTTCTCTCTAGGAAGCGAAACTGCCCGTCGCCGCCGTGAAGCCCCTGGCCAAGAAAACCACGAGAGCCGCGGAGAAGGTGAACGAGCCGGTTAAGGAGCAGAACCCAGTGCCGGAGCCTGCTAAGGTATTAGTGCAGTGCCAGCCGGCATCCAGCCCCTGCTCTGAGCTAACCACAACCAGCAGGGATCCTAGCAAGCCTGGAAGAGGGACACGCTTCTTCACGCTCCAAACCAACCCTGACCTCACCGATTCCTGCCTGGCTTAGCGCCTCCCTGTTGAGCCTGTTTCTCCCATCACTGACCCTGCAGGCTTTGCCCTCATCCCTGGAGCATTGGTGAACTCCCTAGCAGTCTGTGAATGGATTATTTAGCGACTCCACAGTAGCATTTGAAAGGCTACAGCTGCACTTGAAGTGCTTCAGTGTACACCTCCTCCCATTGAAAGGGCTCTTCTGCCAGTGCAGGCAATACACCCTCCTGAATGTGTAGCTAGGTCAATACAAGATTCTACTCTGTAGCTAGTGTAATGCTGTGTTTAGGTAACTTAACTACCTGTTTTGTTAGTCTTTAAGGTGCTGGTAACTTAAATAGTAGTCTAACTACATAGTTGGCTTGTGTATAGAAAAATTGACAGTTATGCAGCTACATTATACATCTCTAATCTTCATATACAAGCCAACTGTGTGAAACTTTAGTATAGAACAGTCTGTCTCAGATTTTCGGTGTGCTCCTGCCAATGAGGTAGAGCAGTAAAATCTCACTTTACAGATGAGATGGGAGGGAGGGACTGAGGCAGAATGCCTAAGAACATGCAGAAGTCTGGTGGAACCTGCCAAAACCTGGGAGTAGTCAATAGGTGAGGATAATTGCCGTGTGGTGGTAATGATTCTGGCATGGGCTTTTATTAGACTGGATGCTGGTCTAGAGGGGCTACTGATGTACACATATGGCTATTAGGCTATGTTCTTAGCCTGGGACTTGAAATCCTGGTTACCTAAAGGTAGTCTATAGGATACCATCCCTTAGTAGACATCCATCTCAAATGGCTCCTACTAAAAACAAGCACTCCCATCCTGCAACATAGGATATCTTGTGACATTACAAACACTGACTTATGAAACAGTCTTGGCCAAACCTGGCATTGGGGATGCTGTGATTTACTACTTGTATCAAGTTTGTGTAGTCCTATCTTTTGAACTCAGTTCTGTTGGGGGGTGATATAACTAGCTTACATACTAAGTTTCTATACTGTTACTCTATTGCACCCTTGTATCATTGTGATACATCTGTGGAGGTCTGATGTAGTTTGTCATGGCTTTAGTAACATTGTAGTATTGTCAGTCTGATTGCTATAGACCTGATCTACAAATCTTAATGGCCTAACTTTCAGAGACCTCTCTTCTGAAGTGTTGTCTTCAGTAGCAGTTATGGGTACTCCATTTTAAACTTTGTCCCCAGTTGGAATCTCCATCCCCAAGCCCAATGGAGACCTCTGGATGTGTGCCAGCAGAGGAGATGTTGTGCCAGGCTTTTTCTGATGTCTTGCTTGAAGTGAGAGATGTAGATGCAGATGATGGTGCTGACCCAAATCTCTGCAGTGAATATGTAAAGGACATCTATAGCTATCTGAGAGATCTTGAGGTTGGTATAAACAAGAACCATATCTTCTGTCATTCTACTTTACCCTGACTGTTACCACCTCTCTGGTGCAATTGCTACTTGAGAAACTGGACCTCTCTTTCTAGACCTTTGGGTATCCCTAAGGTGCAAGGAGTCTTATTCCTTGCAGTAAATCTTTCCCTTAATCCAGCAACCAGCTAGGAGAATGAAGGGTAAGATAGGCTTATTGGACCAACTTCTGTTGGTGAGAAGTTTTTGAGCCACATAGTTCTGGTTTCTCTCAGATTCCTTCTCCCACCAAGTTCCATTTATCAGACCGTGTTTCTCAATAGCCTCTGACCAACAGGCTATACATAAACTGCATACATTTTCTAACAGACTCTGCTGGTAGTTTAAGCCAAGGCTATACATAAACTGCATACATTTTGAGTCTGTTAGAAAATGTAAGTGATAAGCAAAACTAGTTGGCTTAAACTACCAGCACTGGCATTATTACTCCAAGGTAATATAGCTAACAACTGCCTTATACTATTGCCTTCAAATATCTCTTGGCCAAAGAAGCTAGATTCTGTCTCTTTGTTGGCCAAGAAGATGGTGCCAGTGCTTCCCTATATGCAGGAATTGCTGTAGTAATGCATACTCTTCTTCCGTGCAGAAGCAACAAGCTGTCAGACCAAAATACCTGGCAGGACAGGAAGTTACTGGAAATATGCGAGCTATACTAATTGACTGGCTTATACAGGTTCAGATGAAATTCAGACTGCTTCCAGAGACTATGTACATGACTGCTGCTATCATTGATCGCTTCTTGCAGGTAAGGGCATGACATGGCAGCTTGGAATCCTGGCAAAGGAAAATTGCACTCGCATACAGCAGATAAGGGTGACAAATCTGAACCAGCACAAGTTTAATGTTGCACTGTAGCAAAGACTAATTGCTTTTCATAATCTCTCTAGAAATTCAGACTTAAGGATCATTAAACATGATTGACTGACTGGACTACTTAGTACAACTAACTTGTACTCGACACAAATATTTTGGCTCTAGTATGCTGATGACCATACACTTAATATAGAAGCTTTAATTTTCCTGTAGTCTTAAACTGCTGTTTAAATGTACAGCATGAACTCCCATACTACCTTCTAAGTGGTCAAGAAGCTTGTGACTGGAAGTAAACTACACTTTCATATAAACTCTTAAATTTAATGCCACTTCATCAGCGTAGTATTTAACCTGTGACAATGTTTATTGGCTTGTGTAATTCCTGTCTTAAATGCTTTTGTATTGTAGGAAAACAGTGTGTCCAAGAACATATTGCAGCTGGTTGGTGTCACAGCCATGTTTGTTGCTAGCAAGTATGAAGAAATGTACCCTCCTGAAATTGGAGATTTTGCTTTTGTAACAGACAACACTTACAGCAAGTACCAGATCAAACAAATGGAAACTAAGATTCTAAAAGTTCTAGACTTTGCCTTGGGCCGCCCTCTGCCACTGCACTTTCTAAGGAGGGCATCCAAGATTGGAGAGGTAAAATTCATGAGGCATTAAAGGCAATATCTCAGTTTATTATTTCTGCAAGTAGATATGAAGACACTTGTAAATGGACAAAATTCCATCTAACCTCTGCAGAATGCACATCTCATGTCTTGGCTGGTAGCTAGTTACATGAGCTATGCATGAGGACAGCTGATACTCGGGAATGGAGTTGTCTGCTGATACTAAACTGCTAGTACAGGTTGAGAGGGAATCTACAAATGGCAGGAACTAGTAATAGGACAACTTGCATAAATTATGCAAACCAGTTGAATGTGGGGTATGGGACAGTCCCTTTCTATTTCAGAGGATGTAGAAGCAGAATGGGTGGCTTTCATCTATCAGGGCTCACTGAGGACCACTAATATGATTCTCATCCTAGGTGGACCTAGAACAGCACACTCTAGCCAAATATCTGATGGAATTATCTCTGGTGGATTATGAAATGGTACACTACCCTCCATCCCAGATTGCTGCAGCTGCTTTTTGCTTGGCTCTAAAGGTTCTTGGCAGTGGAGAGTGGGTAAGTCTTTAGATTATAGTCTGACATTCAGGCACCAAGTGGATCAAATGGGTACAGCTACCAGGAGTGCCAGTAGGCTAGGGTACACTTCCATTTTTGGGAAATGCAACCCTAGGTGTACTACCAAGCAAGCACCCCTTAAATAGGGTGAGGTTCTAGAAGGCATGACCTTTCCCCACCCTGGAAAGGGGAACATACATAGATCACTTTCAGGGTAGAGCAAGCTGGGCTGGGGAGTCAAGCAGCTAGAGCATGGCAGCTTCCTGGGCAGCTTTTTGGGGGTAGAGGGGAGGAAAGAGGGTAGGCAGCTTCTCAGCCAGCACAATCCCATGAGCTGCTGGTGGGGGCAGGGAGCACTTCTCTAATGGCCACAAAGGACCTGCTTAGGGATTTCTTCAGATTCAAGCCAGATTCTCAGCCCATTCTAGAGTCTCCCCCTAAGGAGCACATAGATCCATGCTGGCTAGGGACCCTGATGGAGGTCCCACTGGGACCCCAACCAGGAGCCACTTAAGTGCCTCCCAGCCAGAGCCTGCAGCCCTCCCCAGGTCAATCCTCACTTACGGCCAAACTCAGTCTCAGACCCTGCAGCCTATGACCATGTAACAAGTTCTTGGAGTGGACCCCAGCAAATTATTGCCAACCCCTGGTCTAAGGGCAGAAGGCTGAGCAAAGTCAGGAAGAAGTGCAGTGGGGGCAGAGCCTTGGAGGATGGGATGGAGCCAGGAGGGGGCACCCAGAGGCAAAACCTCAGCATAGGTGCAAACTTCTGGAAAGGAGCACATTCTTTGTGCCTCTAAAGGAATTGTATGCTATTGAGTAACACTGGTTTACTTGTCTTAGACGCTAACTTTACAACACTACATGTCTTACACTGAGACAGAGCTTCACCCTGTCATGCAACAAATGGCTAAGAATGTGATGCTAGTGAACCAGGGTCTTACAAAGCACATGGTAAGGAACTTAATTTCCTCTGTAGGATGGGTGTGGTGATGGTGGGGAACAAAGTAATACAGAGCAATTGGTGCAGCATGCTCTTAACTCAGCAAGTTCCACTCTATTAGCAGCCAAGTATAACAGGTAAATACAAGACACTTCTTGGTCTAACTCCCTAGTCTAAACAGTTGGTTAGCTCATGAAGAAAACCCTTAATTGTGGGATGTTGCATTACCTGTTTATAGGCCTGCCATGGCACATAGTTGATCAGTTTTCAGCTTTTGTTCATTTGTTCACTTGCTAGTTTAATGGCTGGAGTTTTCAGTGTTCATGTAGAACTATAATCAAGATTAACCTCATTTGTCTCATTTCAGACAGTAAAGAACAAATATGCAAGCAGCAAACATGCTAAGATTAGCACTCTTCCACAGCTCAACTCTGCAGTCATACAGGATCTGGCTAAGACTCGGTCAAAAGTGTTATAACTTTTTATATAACTAGCAGAATTAGATTAAAGTTGGCACCATGTGCCATTGTATGTTTTTTGTGTGCATGTGTGTATATATAATGGCTCTTATTTTGTCCTTGAACTAAATCTTTTTAATAAAGCATTTTTTGCTTCTTACCTCTAATCATGTTTGTCTAAGTGTAATCCCTTTCAAGGGGGAAAAGCTAAAATGTAAGAAGCTACTTCTCTCCCCCCAATAGCTCAATTTACCTGAAGAGCTCCCAAGCACAGGGCAGGCTTTCTTTCAACTAAGACTACCCCTGCACTAAACAGAGATGATCAATAGGACCTAAGTAATGCCAGAGTTCTAATGCCAAACAAACACTCCCCACCTAAAAAAAACTGCCCAAGCAAGGGCAGCTTTCCTATCAGAGCTATAGAAATGGCATACAGGCAGTCCCCGTCAGATCCAACTTACGAATGGGGCTTTCTCACCCCGGAGGTCGAGGTGGCGGATTGCTGCCTGCGAGCTCCGGGGCAAGAGAGCCCCGTTCGTAAGCTGCTCCCGGTGCCCCTGGTCTGCTGGAGACCGTCTCCAGCAGACCAGGGGCACCG